GGTGTTTATATGAAATTCTGAAACTTTGGTTTTTTAGATGTACTGTGGTAAGTGAAACTTTGTCAAATAAATTTTCCTTTTAAAAACTGCAAAAATAAATAAATAGAAGGACGGACAGACATTGTTTAAGAATTGGATCTCTCTCTAATAGCTGGTTCCTCCTCTGTTCCTCTCGTATACAGATCAGTACAGTGTAGGGGCTAAGATCAGGGTTGCAGCCAGAATGTGACTTCAAACTCAGTTTCACCACTCAGCAGCTGTGTGAATTTGAGCTCTTTGTGTTTCACTTTCCTCATCTATAAAATAGAGACAAATGTTGCTTCTGTCCCAAAGGTGATTATGAGGATTAAAGGTACAGAGTGCTCAGAATTGGACTTTACTCAAGATGGATGTTCCAGTTGGAACACACGGTGCCACCAATAATAACTGCTGTCATGTCCTTGGATGGCAGTCCCAGCGGACCAGTTGCTGAAACCAAAGCCCTATGATGAGGAGTACTCATACTCATAGCTGAAATTAATGGAGCACTCGTGTGTACCAGGGACTGTGCTAGCCCTTAACATGCATTTCTTTGTTTATTCCTCAAGATAGGAAGGCAGGTATTGTCCCCATTTCGCTGATAAGGAAAGTGAGGCATTGGGTCAAAGTAATCTGAAGTCTGTAACAACAAAGGAAAGTATACTGGAAAAGCTATATAAACAGAGCCTCAGGGACCAGTTGAGAAATAACAGAAGATCCATGGTCCCGTAAGGAGAGGCAAGGCAGTGGGGCTGAAAGAACATTTGAAGAAATAATGGTTGAAAACTAACCATACTCAACAAAAGACAAGTATGTAAGCTGAGCAAGCCCCCAAAAGGGTAAACCTCCCAAATCTACGCCAAGACACATCACAGTTAAACTTGTGAAAACTAAAGACAAAATCTTGAAAACAGAGAGAAATGACTTATTATCTATATGGGAACAGCAATTCAAATGACAGCAAATTTCTCACCTAAAATTATGGAGACCAGAAGGGAGTGGCACAATATTTTAAAGTGCTAAAAGGAAAGAACTGTCAGCTATAAATTCTGTATCCAGTGAAAGGATCCTTCAGCAACAAAGGAGAAGTAAAGACATTCCAGATGAAGGAGAAGGTCCTAAAAATCCTCTGTGCTCTGCCTGTTCATCTCCCTACCCAACCCCAGCAACCACTGATCGTTTTCCTGTCTCCATAGCTTTGCCTTTTCCAGAATGCCATATACTTGGAATCATACAGCATGTAGCCTTTTCTGATTGGCTTCTTTCATTTTGTAATATGCATTTCAGTTTCCTCCATGTCATTTCATGACTTGATAGCTTTTTTAGCACTGAATAATGCTCTGTGTTCTGGGTGTACCACAGTTTATCCATTCACCTACTGAAGGCCATCCTGGTTGCTTTCAAGTTTTGGCAGTTATGAGTAAAGCTGCTAAAAACAAACAAAAATAACCTTCAAAGTAATCTGGTTTCAGAACCTTCCAAACCCTGTGTATTTGCGCTCTGTTCTCTGTACCCCTTTCTTTCTGTTTTAACCCAGCAGCACATATGCAGCCTCTCCCCAGATCAGGGCCTGAGAATTCTAAGTCACTAATGTAGGTAACAAGGCTGATTGAAAATGAAAGTTATGTCCTACAGTGATTTCTCAAACTGTGGGGACAGAACCACGTCTAGAGCTCATTTAAAGGCTGCATCGTAGTAACCTCATTAGTAGCATCCGTCCCACTAACCTGCAGCTCTGCAACCCCGTCTTCAAAATTGACCATGATGCTTTTCCCATCTCCACTGACTGCTTTCTTTTGTATCTTCCGTCTTTCTCCAGAATTTCCAGATGATGTTAATCCTGTTACCAAAGAAAAAGGTGGACCCAGGGGCCCGGAACCTACTCGATATGGAGATTGGGAACGAAAAGGACGCTGCATTGATTTTTAAGCCACATGTTCTCTGACTTCAGTATCTTTTTCTGATTGTGTACATCTGAATTAACTTATTTCTGATTGTCTTCCTTCTGTGTGTTATTTCAGTCATCTAATTTCTGTAATGTGTTTAAAGAGGTATATGACGGCTTTGGAAGAAAATATGCTGCTATAAATTAAGAAAGAAAATATTTCTACATTAGCACACTAATTTTAATTTAAATGTATTAGAGTATTTAAGTGATGATTAGAACTGCAAACTTTTATTTCATCATGTCTCAGTTTAAATTAAGCAGCTGCTTATGAAATACAAATGCAAATAAAACACCTTTTTAAAAAAAATAATTTTATTTGTATGTACTGAGTAATAGTGGCTTCTTAAATGTGAGTTAAGTAGTGTGTTATATTTTGGTAAAGCCATGGTAACAAGGGAAGATCTTTAACCCCAGAGCCAGATTACTTGGGTTCAAATCCCAGCTCTGCTACTTACTAGCTGTGTGACCTTAGGTAAGTTGTTTAACATCTCTGTGCTTCAGTATCCTTATGTGTATAATTGAAGATAATACTAGTTCCACCTCATAGAGCAGCTGAGAAGATTGAATGAGTAAATACAGGTAAACCACTGGGAGCAATGCATAGCATATACCTCTCAGTGGTAGCCATCTCTAAATCATATTATATTTTCTAAGTCTTTAGGCTGCCTAGGGGGAAAAATCTAAGAAACTGAAATTTTAAATACTTGAGTTGAAATTGTTTTATATGAATATAACATTAAAAAATCATTAGTTGGAAAATTTGATTATTTTCACGGATGAACAGAGCTGAAATACTCATTCATTTGTTAAAGATAAAATTCAAGTCCAAAAGGCTAATGTGAGAGAAGCAGGGGATGGGTTGTGCCAGCTGAGTCACGTCTGATGACTCAGAAGCTCCCTCCCTGTGGTCTTTGGATGACCGGGTCAGGGGACGCCAAGCGCACCTGCAGAGCGGTGCTGATGGGAGAACGGGAAGGGCTGGGCTCCGTTGCCGTCCGCTGGCCTCACTCAGTCACAGAGATTGGACCTCCACGTGTTAACATAAAATCACATGTTTCTGAAAAGTAGTGAAACTAAAGTAACTTTCCAAAACAAAAAAATTCTTTAAGTGACATTGTTTTATATTTTTGTGATTCTCTTTAACATCTAACTTAATAGAAGGCCGCCATATTCTCATATCATCTTCTGCATTCAATTGGTTGTGATATTGTTTTGATTCCGGTATAAGGAAGAAAAGGTAGCCTCACACAGTTACGTGGTTAGAAAAGGGAGTATCTCTCAGAGCCCCTGTAGCGGTCTCAGGGTCCCCCAGGGTCCTTGGACACTTCCAAGAACTGCTGAGCTGACTTCAGTCGAGAGGGAGGTACTAAATGCAGACTCCTTAGAAAGGTTCACAGAACCAGCTGAGCCTTCAAGACCAAATTTCAGAACCCACAACAGCGCTGGCTAGAGAAGAGAGCTGGGGCCCAATGTCAGAGTCTGCTGCACCTCTCTCTGTAGGCAGGAAACTGTCACCACAATCAACACAAACCCCAGGAGCCCTGAGATGATGCCGACCATGCTGGCAAAATGAAGTCCCAGTGGCTTTCTTTTTCTCTCATCTAACCTCTGTGGGCAAAGAGTCAGATGTACACACCCTAGTGGAGGCTGGGAGGTGTGCTTTTACTGATCCCTGGGCTGTAAGGCAGGCTCTGCACTGGGGAGCTAGCAGATGTCGAGATGGTGTTCAAAAGAGTTTGGACAGACAAAAATGTTACTTGTCCACCACCAGCATCCAAGGAAACTTTTTGAGAATCAGTCTTACTGGGGCATATAGTATAGAATTGTAAAATACATAAATATAGGTGTGTAAAAATAAGGTTTAACTAATCTCTAAAACACATTAAATGTCTATTCCTGCTCATGTGAAGACTGCTTCTGTCAAGATTGGACATTTGAGCCTATAATTTATTTTTATGCCTTTTACATAGCTTTGGTTGATGAATATGAAAATTAAGTTATGTGAAAGTTGCTTAAAATTTAGTAACAGCCTATATTCTTTTGAAATACCACTTAGATATATTTAGACCCTGTATTTCTAACCTAGTTGTTGCAAGTGGAATCGCATCTGAAGCCTGGAGCCTGCAGGTGCCCCTGTTAGCTGTTGCTGGTAGAAAGGGATCGTGGACAGACTGAGGAGTCTGTTGTTCACGCAGGCGTGGGAAGGAGACGAAAATCACTGGAGTGTTCAAAAGCAACTTTTAAGAGAATATTAGACCCTGAAAAC